AGTTAATCCTCATCAGAGTGACCTCTGGTTTACAATGCTGTGGTCGGCATGTTAAAGAATATTTAACTATCGATCGGGTTCTATCTGGTCATAGGATTTCTGATTTATTACATGTGCAACACAGTCAGGTCCATCAGGTATGAACTTCTTCTTAGACACTGCAAAGAACCAAAAACTCAAAACTGAGAAATGAAAAAGAACTTTTGCAGAAACCCTGCAAACTGTCAGTCACTTACACTCAATTCAATATCTTTCTAGCACTCATTTCAGTTGAATCTTACCCGATGAACGTCTACTGACTGAGACGTCTAAATGAAATAAAGTGAGTACAGGTGACAGTGTGAAATCAGGTGAATCAGAGACGGGCAGCCTCTATGACTCAACAGAAAAGTCTCACTGCATACAGCTGCCAATAGCTCGCTCAGAGCCCAGCTGTTTTCTCTTCATTTAAACTCCACAAATCCACGTTTAGCCCGTACAGGTCTTTGGATGTGAGTGACTCAGCAGGTTTCTACGTTCTTAGACTCAGCAAAAAAGCCAACAGCAAAAGAAAAATACAGTGTAACAAACATGAAACAGCAGATGGTGACGACTCATAACCAAGGTCAACAGCGACCAGCTGGACCCCTGCAGTTTGCTCGTCATACTGTCGGGTAACTATCACACCTAAAGTTTTCTAAGCTTTGGCCTCATTTCTTTGCATTTAAAAAAATACTCATATTAACACTGTTGTTTGGTTTATCATTATATCCCATGAATTATGCACTTCAACTCACAGAAAACAGAGTTCTAGCCAGCATAAAATCTTTTGCTTTTCTCCCTTGGATTGCCACAGGGATATGTCATACCAACTGAGGTAGTCAAAATGTTCAGAGTTTTTCAGGAAAAAAGACAACATTATACTACTATTTTTGTACTCAGAACTTGTACTTGTCTTTGCAGGCCTTCCCTGAATGAGTTTGTGGAGTGGTGTTACTTCTCAGCTCTGGAGCAAAGACAGAAGAGATGGTTGGATGAAGTAAATCAACCACCATACTTGTTTGATACTAACACATAAGAGCTACAGTAGAAATGGTGCCTGCCGTGCTAGGTTCTGGCCAGTGACCCTTGCTGTAACTTTTTTCGTTTAATATTTTCTTATATCGCTCCATTGGAACCTTCTTCACATCAATACATGAAACTTACAAAAATGTCATTTCCATCCTTTTTTCCTTCATTCATGTTTTGTTTTTCACGCTAATTACATCATCTTCTTGAGCCCTCTTATTCTGATTTTGCAACTGGAAATTATTAGGAAAATATGAACCTGTAAATAAATCTTTACCCTATTTTGAGGTTCCACTAAACTCTAAATCCCCTTTGTTGTATCTTCATTATTTTCGTTACCTGTAGGTCGGTTAGCAGGTTGCTGGTCTCTCGGACCCGGGATCTAGTTGCGTCTAGTTCTATCCTGAGTTTCTCCTGAGTTTCCCTCAGACAGGAGATCTGTGTCTGAGCTGAACCCAGGTTCTGCTCCCCCTCCCTCACCAACTCCTGGAGGTGGGACACCTAAGGAGATCGGCAGGCAGAGAGTTATCGCATCATCAGGAGAATAATTTGGTTACATTTTAGGAATGTTAAGTGGAGTTGAATTGATGTTTCGTACCTCTTGATTGGCCATATTGAGCTTGGCCGAGAGCTCCTCTTTCAAGTTGTCAAGTTGCTGCTGAAGGCGGTCTCGCTGCTCCTCCAATGACAGCCGCTTAATCTCAAACTCCTGACTCATTTTCTGGAGAAGAGAGGGCAAAGAAAGAGAGAATGAGAAATGAAAGAGGATGAAAAGATTGGTTAGAAGAAGAAAAAATCAGAAATTGAGGAAGCTCGCTGGTGTTTTGACCAACCGTGAAACCAGATTTATTTTTAACATTTTTAAATACAATCCCAAAAAACAACACAATTTTGATACTTGAAAAAGCCAATGTATCACTGTATATTACACTTTACTATGAAGGGCTATCAGCTTTTTTTTCGTTTCTGTAGCATTCTTACTGAAAAAAGTATAATCTCTAAAAGAGGAGGGGAGTTAAGAAGCCACTGTAAATCCCATTTGTGCCATAATGTGGAGTCGTGGCAGAGTGTGACGCAAGGCTACTGAATGAAGGAGGGACACGTGAGTTGTCATTTAAACTTAAAAGGCCATCTCATCAAACCAACCATTTTCTATATTCCTTTAAACCACAGCACCAAATCCTTTTCAGACCACTCTAAAGTTTTCTTTCTGAAATACTCTCTTTGTCGTCTACTTCCTGGTTTCTCTTAGCTATTAATTCCTAGCACTGATATCGATAGTGGATATGTTTTATGAAATACAAAGCATCATTGTGCTTTCTTTCTGTTGCAGTAGTTGTTTAGTAGTAATACTGTACTGCTGGATAAAAAGCACCATCGGATCCTCAGAGATGGATTTCTGGAGGTCAAACTGAGTTCATTCTTCAGTGCTGAAGTAATGCTAATTTAAATGCACAATAATTCTCACATGGCCAACTCTGACCATTGCAATATTAGATCACTGTTAGTAGAGTTGCTAAATATGAGTCCATGGCCATTGATCAGTTATTATAGAGTGGGTTACCATAGTGTTCACACAGTAGCTGTCCCTTTCTGGCAGTATTTGATCTAGGGCTGCCCCTTAATAGATTACTTAACCGTTAGTCGGTGACAAGAGTCTTAGTCGACGCACTGTTGCATATGCTAACTTTACTAGCTACTAGCTGCCAGCTACTTAGCTGTCCTATTAGTTGGCTCTACCTGGACTGGGAGCTCCAAGGACAGGGAGAGTTTAAATAAATAAATACTACTAGCATAGCAGCGGGGGACCCAGCGGGGAATGCTGGGGAGCGGGGATGGAATGTGCGGCAGAACCGGAGCGGGGCGAGTGCGCAACAAAACCGGGGTCAGAGCCTGCAAGGCCAACAGAGGCCAGCTGATTTGCAGTGGCTCCAACCAAGACTCTGACTCTGGGGATGAAAACATGGCGGGAGACGCATGAAACGGAGAAAGCAGAGCGAGTTATAGCAAGAGAATTTGTAAGAAGTGTTATATATCATCCATCGTATCTAAAGGACCATCTAGAAAATGTTACAAATGAATAAGAAAGAGTGATTATATTAATAATATCTGCATAAAGTTTCTTGATTGTATTTCCAGGTTTGCTATATCACAATACATGTATATCAATATCAGCATATAAAGTTGTGTATATACACACAGTACTAGATAACTAAATATTGATTTAGTGTGTACATGCCATTCTTGTACACAGCCTTGT